GTATTTTTGGGTGTAACTATAGCGCCCAGAGTGTTATCTGAGGGCCGAAGGCCAGAGCCAGGAGTGGGTATGGGAGGGTGTGTCCCCTTCTCCTATGATATATATATTTTTTTAATTGGGACTTTTAGATGGCTGGAAATGGCTGGGATGAGAAAACTAGGCCTATTTTTTTTCTCGGTCCGACTGCCCGACGAGCTTTGGCCGACGGGGGTGGCCGACGGGGGGGGGGGTAACGAACGATGTTATATTATCATGCATATATTAGTACTGCATGTTAATTAAAAAGTTGTAAGCTTAGGTGTTTGAGTTGAACGTTAAGATTTGGACTGTTGTCCATTTATCATGTAGTGAATCTTCTTTCGTAATCTAATTTCACTAAACCTTTATCAATGACTTTGAAGAATTTAGTATTAGCCCACAGTTTTGAATTTTTTGTTTTTGTTTGTGTGTGTTCAATTAGATGTTTTAAAATGTGTGAATTTTGTCTTTGCCAAGGTGTTCGTTAATCCTAGCAATGAAATGCCGGATAGTATAAATATGTAATTTAACTGTTCCCTGGTTTTTTTTTTATCAATCTGCGTCTATTTGGTTCCATTATCAAGGACTTTAGATCTGCCTATTTGTTTACTCATGAAATACGAGATTATATCCTTACGTTTCACTAAACCTGAATTGTATTATAATTTCTTACACAATTGTAAAACGTTTGGCGTTTTCCCTAAACTTGATTATTTGCTCTCCTACGCGTTTGACAACGCTAGCTACGAACTCTTTACATTTATATTGTAATAATAATACAAAACACACAGGGAAGTCACCGTAAAAAAACTGTTGTATTATTATGTGCTTGTAGTTGTAATTATTGTAATGGTCTTATTCTTTTTACGGTATTTTAAATTGTATTATATTTGGTAGGAAAACTTGTAAATACAAATCTGCAATTCCGCTTCGGATGGTCATTAATTGTAAAGAATGAATAAAAGAATTGAATTATTGAATTGAAAATAAGTGGGGACTGAGTCAGACATTGAATTCGAGATTCAGAAATCCTGTTCTAAATCAGGTGACAGTATAGGGAAAAGCGACATTTCTCAGTCGCAGATTTTTAGACCTACTGGGGAGTAATATCGTTACATCTGTATGCTTAAAGATGTACGGTACAGAATTTAAGTGGATCATCATTCAAATGATTATAACAGTCAACTTGTACCGAACTACGGAATCTACGGGTAAGTGTAGGTTTAATAATATTATGTCGAAATTCCTCTAAAAGTTCATTAATTCTGTTATTACTGGTTTAGTGTAGGTTTATGTTTTTTTGTAATTCGAGTGAACATTGTGATACAATTCATATAAATCAGATTAAATGGTTAGAATTACAATCAAATAAAGATAACGATATTATAGTGTCAGGGATTATTCAAGAAGAGAGACAGAGGAAGAGAAACAGCAGCAAATAATGTAGTTCATCGACATGCCATGACAAGGCAAATAAAAGAGTCATGAGGGGGACGTCGATAGGACCTAATGTTGGTGGCGCTACTCTAAAGCAGCACAACGTCATCGGTATACTAACGTCGTCGCCCATTCCTCTGCCACACGGAAGCAATGAAACCCTAGTTGAGAAAATGAGACCTGACAGGTCTCGAAACGTTCTTAAGTACGTCTTCACCGTTATTGGTTGATTAAAAATAACTTTAAAATCTTTATATATCCTAATGAAATCCTAGAATTGTATTCAATTTTCTTTATCAGAAAATAATTGCAGTAGAATGTTCAACATCATTAAAGAGTATTGTAGATAAATACTGTATTTAAAAGCCGGGCACCCACTGCACGACCGTCCTACGACGAATGTAACTCCGCTCCATGTGAGAATCAGACGACACGACGCGATGCCACGTGCTGCTCCTCGGTGGCCACCCGATTCTGCAATTAGTACATAAGTAATTGTTAACTTGTGAGAAGTAATGCAATTGACTATCTGTTAACTTTCGTCATTGACCATTAATGATCTGCGTTAGCAAGTAACCACTTCACTAACCTTTTCTCTAGTACTAAAGGATAGGCATACCGAGAGGGCGTAACCCATTACTTCAATAATGGATTTTTAGTGTTAAAAACAAATCTTATTATTAATTAAATCAAATATTTGTATAAAATTAAAATATATTGTTAACAATTTTATAAATATATACTGCTTTTCTGTGTATTTTTAAAACCCCAACAAATGGAAGATTTACTATTGTGTAAGGACAAGACCTGGGCCTAGCGATACAGTAGTACACGATAGCATCATGGATTATGGACGTGCTTTTGTGTATTTCAAAATTAAGAAAATATATAAACTACAGTATACAGGTAAGCCTAGAATGTTTTTTTCCAAAACTCTTCAACAACACAGTCAACAAGGAGGGTTCTTTGTCAGACTCTATCCCGCCTACTAGCTAAGGCCTCTACAGGCCTGGTCTAGGCTTCGTATTAGGACAGTATGACCCGCTAGGCTAGGCCCTAGCTAGGCCTACATTGGGACATAGGACATAGGCCTGAGGAGGCTCAAGTTAGGCCTAGCCCGGTCTCCATAAGTAGCAGGGTCGAGGAATAGAGTTATAAATATGTAGGTGCCTAGCCTTTCAGGGCTGGATAAGTCCGGCCCTATCCAAATTGCGATGGAACATGCAAATGTTACAGACGTAGGCCCTTCTGGGACGGTCTCTATGGCTCCAGCCTGCTACAGTAATCCTGGCATATTGGCAGGGTAGGGTCCTTTCTTTTGGGGCTGAGTTGATTTGTTACTGTAGCGTCAAGTAGTTTTTTCACCACCAATTAGCTCATTTTTGTTGAGAAATGACCTGGTAAAACTGACAAAATAGTCAACTTATTTTAAAATAGCCAACATATTTTAAGGCTTTGTAGCTTCTACGATGATTGATGTGAACATTTTAGTAAATAGATTTACATAAAGCACTTCACACCAAAATGATACTTAAAGCACTCAAGGTGTGGACGGCTCTTACACTATGTAACTTGCTTCACCCCTAAGGGTCTCTACGTGTCTGAGCTATCAGGTAAACCGGTACCAGCGGCTCTTCAGTAGGGGCTAAATTGACCAATATGCCATCGTAAACCCCCTACTCTTCTCGAAGTTAACTACACTCGACCTATGGTTTATAGTCCTTATTCGTGAAGAACTGTTTCACAACCAGAACCTAGGCGTACGTGCCATTCTAACCAATCCGATATTATAACTGTACACGGACGTTCCCCACCCTTAACCGCTCGGTTATCCAACTCACCATATAGGCCATGCCTTCTGTATGTTGTTTTCTTAAAAATTAAAAAAAATATATAAAATGTACTATTTTTTAAATGAGTATTATACGGTATTGTAAATTATAATTAATTTTATTACACTGTATAGTATGTATATTGAATTTACAAACTTAATTCATAATACTTTTTATGGCTTACCCATAGTATATCGTTGACAAACCAACCACCGCCAGATAGCATTGGTACATTAGGTAGGCCAAGAGACAGAGAGAGTGAGGGAGAGTATTTTTTGAGGAATATTTGTATTTAAATATAATTTGTTTTTGATTTTTTTCTTAAGAAATTTATGGAAAAGCCACAACATACAAACCTTTACAAGATTTGCATCTACAGAGCTGCACTGAGATTATATAAGGGAGAAGTTTAGAATACCACTGAAATACAGACAAAGCGCATAAAGACCTTCCATCAACGCTGTCTTGGAACGCTGTTGTGTTAAAAGAATATCGATGTTCTCAAGACTGGCGAATACTACTTATTTATGTTGCATAACATCTGTGAGACTCCATTGGTCTTTTGAGATGGACTCTTACCTACTGTACTCATTCTACTTTAATGGCAGAAGATCACAGTGCATATTAAAAACAAAAGAATTTTGGTTCAAAGTTGCCAACGAGGATGTTTAATTACTGAAAATTCATCAGAACAAGCTACCGTTTTAACTGAAAAACATTGAGGATTCTGAGACTTGATGAACCTGATATCGACAACCAGTCACCTTATATATAAAGACTGCTGAAAGTAAGTAATACGCCAATAGTAATCAGTTTTATAAAACATCCAAAAATATTTCTGAGGGTATTCATACAGTACTTTACATTTTGTTCATTCCTCATACTGTACAGTACATACACCATGGATACAGTAACTCCATGCATATAACAAATAGATTTTTTTTTCTCTTTTGGTAAACTAATTGAGGCTTAATGTACCTTATCTGATGCTGCGGTTCAACTATCTTGAAAAATATCAGGCAAAAATAAAACAGTTAAATATTGGGTCCTACAGTACTTATTTGAATTTTAAAAATCATGTGTCTTCCTGACGTTTTAATATATATACCCAGACATCCAGCTATAGATAAATATGCTATATATTATTCAGTGGAGATATAGTATTGAAAACAAATTTCTAGGGCAACATAAAATCTGGCTGTCCCAGGAAAAAAACAATAGAATTTCTTTTATATTCTTCTTAGTTTTTTTTTTTCTTGGAAAGATTGCATCCCTTATGTCAATTCTTAATTATTACTGTAAATGTAGTCATACATCTACAAATAAAATGTGGTTTTCATGCTTTTTTTCATTTCCTATTTCATAATTTCGAAGATGATACAGTTTTATAAGATAAATTTAATTATTTTTTGTACTTTAATTACTGGTCACATTTTGTCCATTGCTCACATAAAATTTTGTCATGTATTATGGTCCTAGCTACGTGTAAAGATTACTTTAGAGAAACATTGGTCAAAATTTTATAATAATAGGGACCATGTAAAACAATACGATAATTTGCATTGTAACTTTACAAAAACATAACTAAATCTATTTCTTCTCTACAGACAATGTATTGTATATTGTATTCAAGACACTCGGGAAAAGATAATAGGGACCATGTAAAACAATGGGATAATTTATTTGTAACAAAAACATAACTGAATCTATTTCTAAAAATATATTGTGTATATTGTATGCAAGCAGTCAAATTGGAATTAAATCCAAGATTGTTATGCCTAATAACCTAAGAACTTTTTTTATTTTCAATTATTCTACAGTTGCTAAATACACTCACCACACACACACAAAGAACTGTCCTGTCTTTCATACAATTCATGATCCTACATACATTATGTATAATCTAACAAATATTGAGCATAGAAAAATCAAAGAAACATTTTACACTACATTTCACAATCGATTCTCACTGTAAATTTGAACCTGTCTGGTTAAATAATTATAAAAATGGATGACTAAATAAATGAATGAATGATAAACTGAATAAATAAACAAACAAAATATCATAATTATGCAACAATCTTTTTACTCCTGTATAATGATACATATTATTTTTTCTTTCATCTTTAGATGTTTTGAAACCAAGCCTTGTATTGTGAGATGAAATTTTTGTTTGACCTAAACCTGGAATTTAAAGTACAAACCTAGCATTAAATACTTTCTACTTTATAGTGTTTAATTTAATTGCTGTGCAATGAGAATGAAGTATACATATTACATACTGTGCAATTCTTAAAAATTGCTCAGGAAAAATGTTCTGTTGGCCCCCCCCCCCCCTCATAGAATTAACTACTTTAATAATAGTAAAATGACATGCAGCACTTTATAGGCTAACAAATATTTACTACCCCTTTTTCATGATGTTACTGTAATTATAAAATCTATGAAATTAATTATGAAGTGTCAGTATTTTATTTATTTAAGTTATCTAACCACCTTATATATCTGATCATGAATTAATATGTTTTTAAAAAAGGGGAAAGTCATTGGTAGTACCATGTTTATTGCTGTGGAGTTGAATAGCTTGGTGTTTAAGTTAAGTGAATTTCTACACTAATAATTATGTGTTCACTTAGGTGTGTTAATGTGAAGAAATCGTCGCAAGCAACGTTTTGGTTTTATATTCCTTAAAACAAGGTGGGATTTTAATGATATTGTATGTACAGTAGTGAAAAGTGTGAAATGTTAATATAATACAAAAACATACACATAATAAGTAGTACAGTACTTTGAAATTTTCAATACAAGAACATCACTCAAGACTAGTAACGTAATTAAATTTCTTCCAGAAGCTTCATACTGCATATCACTGAATGAATGCACTGTATTTTGGAATTTAAAGTATGTCATTTTAAATGACCAACCAATGTTTTACATTATTTTTTTTAAAGTAATGTTCACATTTTATGCTAAATTGTCTGTATATTAGTACAAATATATTGTAATTATATTGTATTATAATGCATGTTTCCCCAGTCAGAGACAAGAAGCTCACCACAAATTTGTTATCTATGTTTTAAATCTTGTTCCGTGGACAGATCTTTTGTAATCTACATTTTTCAATTATTTGTATTGATATTTATTAATATTAAATTGTTTTGTTATTAATAATATTATGGTGTGAATGATATTTAGTATAGTAGTAATTAAATAAAGCAGTATTTTCAGGTTTTGCTTAATAATTATATCTTTAGTAATGTACATTCGAACAAAAAAGAAAAAAACAGTAACCTTTGTTTTACTGTACTAATACAGGTTATGTATAAAATCCTATTACTGTACAATGTTTCTTCAGTGCAATATTCAGCTGATCTTCATAAAGGCTTTGTAAAGTTACCTCTCTATTTTAGTGACACATCTCTGTATCAAATTAAATTCTCAATGTTCTTGATGCTTAATTTTACTATAAGAATCACTGAGGTTAAAAAATGAGTTGCAAACTAAACTTAAGGTATTAATTGTAGTTGTTTTCTTATAATTTCTAGTGCAAGAAATATACAGTATAATTTTTATTAACAGTCGACTTCCAGTGAATTTATAAAACTTCAGTATATTAACTTTGTAGTTTCAGCACTATACATTCATTTGTATAAATATGTTATTATAATATTATATAATTGTGACTGCAAAAGCAATAAATATTAATCTGTGATCTACAGTACAAAATGGATTTTGTTTGCCATTTTATCGTTATGATTTATCATTACCATAAGCATCATTTAAAGTCTGTTGATTCCTGCACTCTTGGGTTAGACCAATAAAAGTCTGTTTAATTAATTGGTAGTGGATGTACANAGACAGGTACGATAAGGACTCAGTGTATGTGTGTGTATGTGGGATTGGGGAAGTATGTGTTTACTCCTATTATGAGAAAGCGAAAAGTTCATTGTGGTTACAACCTAGAAGGGCCTATGCGACAAAAAACAGTTGGATGAAGCAGTATAATATTACAACACAGAGGATATATCACAGTGAAGCGACAGAACAGAACTGTGACATTCTCCCTTTACAATCAACAGTATGTATTATTATTTATTCTCCTGTTAGCCTAATCAACAATTTGTTACCATCAAACAATATTTTTATTTACTTCCCACGATATACGATTTCCGAAATTAATTTGCCCTTGTGTGCCCGTGGTCAAGGAATAATTTAAAAATTAACCTGTTTTCGTATACCTCATACTTTCATAAGGTATGCTAAATAAACTGATTATTATGCCATTACCATCGACATGTACAATTGCCGCTATTATGATTTTGGTAAGCGGTCCGATTAGATAAGAGGGCAAATGTTGTGCATGTTATGCTACAAAATGTTGTCGTTGTTTGGCCGTTTAATTTTATTAGACCAACCTCAAACCGTAGCCGTCAATAGAGTATCATCCAGTAAAGATATTAATCAAAAGTTCGTCATTCTACATTGTGTAGAACCGCTAGAATTTATATTTTAAATTAATATTTTACAATTTGGCAATAGCGGGCGGGCTTTCTGTAACATTTAACCGGCCGCCATTTTTATTCTACTTGTCAGATTTGATTATTTTTATCATTTTCTGATCCTAAAAAAATATAGTCTTCATTTATATCAATTTTCGTGAAAATCGAGCCATCCGTTGTCAAAATATATTTTTTCATGATTTCATAAACACAATGCTGTGAAATTTATAAAGGCTAAAGCGTCCTGCATTAAGGTTTTTAAAATTAATCAAAAACTTTTTTTAACAGATAGGTCGGTTATCACGAAAGTTAATATTAATGAAAACCATTTTTTTTTTTTAAATCAGAAAATGTAAAAAAAAATTCAAATCTGACAAGTATAAAGAAAATGGCGGCCCGTTAAATGTTACAGAAAGCCCGCCCTCTATTGCCCAATTTTTGTAAAATATTAATTTAAAATCTAATTTCTAGCGGTTTTTCACAACGTAGAATGACGAACTTTTGATAAGTATCTTTACTAGATGATACTCTATTGACGGCTACGGTTTGAGGTTGGTCTAATAAAATTAAACGGCCAAACAACGACAAAATGTAGTAGCATAACATGCACAACATTTGCCCTCTTGTCTAATCAGACCGCTAACCGACAATCATAATAGACCATCTAGTAATTTCAGCCGCAATTGTGCATGTCGATAGTAATGGCATATAATCAGTTTATTTAGCATACTTTATGAAATCATGAGGTATACGAAAACAGGTTAATTTGAAATTATTCCATGACCACGGCCACACAAGTGCAAGTTAATTTCGGAAATCGTATATCGTGAGAATTAAAAAAAAATGTATTGTTGATTAGGCTAACAGGAGAATAAATAATAATACATACTGTTGATTAGAAAATGTAAAGGGAGAATGTGCTGTAATATTATACTGCTTCATCCAACTGTTTTTTGTCGCGTAGGCCTTCTAGGTTGTAACCACAATGAACTCTTCGCTTGTTCATAATAGGAGTAAATATATGCTTCCCCACTCACACTCCCACATACACACCGAGTCCTTATCGCACACACACACACACACACACACACACACATATATATATATATATATATATATATATATATATATATATTATATAAATATTTACATAAAGTTTATATTATTATTATTATTATAATTTTTATTATTATTATAATGTGTAAACTGGAACAAAGCCCTCGTTGTCTGGCGGAATGACAATCATATCTCACCAATTATATCTCAAAAGTAAAATGCCAGGGTTAATGTTTCTGTTGAAGTATTTCCAAATTTTATTGCTAATAATGCATCATCTGGCTTGACATCCAGGGTTTTATCCTATGATTATGGCTATAAAAATAAGTATAATATAAATATTATATTGTATAATATATTATCATAATGTGTGTCCGTACATAGTATGTATGTAAATATGTATTCAAGTATGCATGTATAAATTTATATATATATATATATATATAATAATAAGAATAATAATAAGGAACTTGTAATTTCACTCTACAGGCTGTTTTATGCACTAGGCAATCTTCAGGAGTGAAGGGAATTTCAAATTTGACGTGTATATGTAGAGTTGGGCCGGTGTAGATGCAAATTAGGTATTATGTGTTTTTGAGTAGGAATTTGGCACGGTGTCTGCATTTTGAAAGGAGTTGGTGCCTTTTCTTCAAAGTAGATTGTTTGTCTTCATAAATTATATGAAACTTTTCTGCGTTGCATAGATTGCATCGCTTTGTTTTGGGTGAGTAGGATGAGGCTCTATCAATAATGGACCATTTGATATTGTATTGTGTTTTGCTGTCTTTTAGTTTCCATATGAACTTTGAAAGTTCTATGCTGTTTCTGTGTTTTGGTGAATTGAATGTGTGCTTATTGTAGAGGTTGTGTCGTTTCATAGGCCAAGCAAAGCACACAGTTCCGAAATAATAGAGCTGGAGTCGTCCTATACGTGTTCAACTTCAATTTATTAACACCCATCAAAGCGTCCAGCCAGTAAATCTACAAAACATCAGGCAAACAGCCATTATAATATCGTAGCACAGTACAGTATTGTAATATTTAACGAAATGTTAAGCTAGTCATCCTAGATAGGCCTACCGGTAACACGACCGTGCACG